GCTGCTGTACATCCTATTCTCTGGCAAACGCAGTATAACACCGGCGGTTAGTGGACTATCGGTCATCCTGCTCCTGGTTATAACTGCGCTGCCGCAAACGGGTAATGCCCAGCAGACAAACTCCGGAGTAAAGCATATTGCGTTCAATGATATTTACGAGCTGGCCCTCACCCATAATCTCCAGCTTAAAAGCAGCGACCTTGCTATGAAGCGCTCCCAGGCCCTGACCCGCACTTATCTTTCATTGCCGAAGACAGGCGTCTTTGTAGAGAATGAAGATCTGCGTCCCAGTGATCGCGTGGGTATTCTGAAGATCGGCGTTTCTCAGAGCATCGAATGGCCGGGGCTTTATTCAGCACGCAAATCTATGCTTCAGGCGCAGGCACAGACCTTTGATTATAGCAGGCAGGTCAAGGCCCTTGAATTACGAAGATCCTTACAGAACACTTATTATACACTTTGGTACCTGCAAAGCAAGCAACAGCTCTGGCAACAGCTGGATAGTCTTTATTCGTCTATTGCAAAGGCGGCCATCCTGCGTGTAAGAACCGGTGAGAGTGCGGGCCTGGACAGCATTTCCGCCAATGCAAAAAGTGCGGAGATCCGGTTACAGCTGTCCATGCTCCAAACAGATATTGAAGTGCAGCAATCGGCCTTGAAGGCGGTCATTAATATAGATACGAGCTTCCTGGCGGAAAACACGATACTGCAAAAAATAGAAGTGATGGATGAAGAGCCATTGCAGGCAAGCCATCCGGAACTGTTGCTGCAACAGCAAAACATCAGGGTAGCGGATGCAGACCTGCGGATAGCCCGCCGGAGTATACTACCCGATCTTTCTGCCCGGGTGTTCTCACAACAGCTTTATGGTATGGCCAATCCATTTACCGGATTCTCCGTATCGCTGGGTATCCCGTTGTTAAGCAGCGGCAGTTATAAAGCTAAGATACGGGCAGCAAAGCTGGAAGCAGACTATCAGCAAAATACCTTGCGCTATGAAGAGCAGCTATTAAGAACTGGTATCGACCAGGCAGCCAGAAACCTGGAAAAAGACCGGCAAATGGTAGCTTATTATGAAACGAGCGGACTCACACAATCGGCCGCAATTATGAAGGCCGCCAATCTTTCGTACCGCGCAGGGGAGATCAGCTTTGCAGAGTTGTCAGCTTTTCTGACGCAGGCCATTGACATCCAAAAGAATTACCTCGATGCGTTGCAGCAGTACAACCAGTCGGCTATTAAACTTCATTATTACCTGAACAAGTAAAACTCATTTCCATGAACATTATTCGCATCATTATACTTTTAATAGCCACCGGCGCCCTCATTTCGTGTAACAGCAACAATGACAAGCCGCCTGTTAAGGAAGAAAAGGAAGCTCACCAGCACGAAGAAGAAGAAGGCAATACAGTCTCGATCACCGCAGCACAAATAGCGGCTATTGATATTAAATTGGGGACGCTGGAACATAAAAACCTGTCGACCTCTATCCGTGTGACGGGTAAGCTGGAAGTGCCGAACCAGAATAAAGCATCGGTTACTTCTTTGTACAGCGGCGTACTCAGAACGCTGGATATACATCCCGGCAGTCCGGTACGTAAAGGACAGGTTTTAGCGACCATTGCCAATACCGATTTCATCAATATACAACAGGAGCTCATTTCTATTAATTCGCGGCTGAAACTGGCAGCACTTGAAAAAGACCGGCAAAAAGAATTGGTGGCAGGGAATGCAGCGCCCCTAAAAAACCTGCAACGGGCAGAGTCTGACTTTAACAGCCTGAAGGCACAACAACAAGCCTTGCAGCAGCACCTGGCTACGCTCGGCATCAGCCCGGCCTCTGTAAGTAAAGGAACTATTTCTTCCAGCCTTTCCATCACAGCACCGATCAGTGGTACTATCAGCGAAATATATGCCCAGATCGGGTCCCGTGT